CCTTGACCCCGCCGGGGTCATACGTAATTCGCATAACGGCCCCCCCCCCCCCCTTTCAAAATCCTGACTACGTCCCTGGTCACCCGATCTCCTTACCAGCGTGACCTCTCACAATTTTTGATATACCCAATGTCTGCAATGTCTGGGTCGAAATTACCCAAGATTCAGCAAAAATTGCCCAAAATTACCCAAGCTTCCTGAAAATACATTAAAATTTGAAAAATACGTGTTTTTCGCACGTATAGTTTCCCTTTTAGTTAATTTATAAACCATTTTTTAGTGTAATTGTTTGTGTTAATTATTAAAATTAATATTCATGAGGTAATAATACGGATAGAAAAATACGCCCTTAGTCGGCCAGTGTTATCAGTGTAGATCAGTGATCAAGTCTTATTATGTAATGCATTAATTAGGTAAGATCAATGGGAATACAAATCAAAATAGACGATTCTGAACCCATGTTTATAGCAATTAACAGTCAATTAACAATGTTATGTGCACTTCGTTGAGTTTTGTTTACTTGAATGGACTGAAATATACTTTGTTACTTCTTAATTCTTCCTCTATGACAAAAATATTAAATTTTCTTAATAAAAATAAAATACCCAAGGATTTGAACGGAATACCCAAGAACCCAAGACCAAGTCAAAATACCCAAGATCTTGGGTAAATACCCAAGCAGTGGTCACGCTGCTCCTTACTCTTTGAAATTTCGTAAGGTTGACAGGTATTTGCAGCTGTGAAGTGTTTTAAATAGGAAATCTATTTTTAGATATGATAATACTGTATGGGAATTCCCAAGATTGGTTATTTTCAAGTCAACAAGTGTAGTACAGTACTTAGTAGGTAGCAGGACCAAGTGCTTTCTTGTCTTGTTTTTTTCGTCTGTTACTGTACAAAACGCCTCTGGCGTGGCTATCAGTGTATCAGTACTAGTTTCAAGTTGCGACACCAAGGTAATGTACATTATAACATTTTTACTAATAATTTACTTTTGCAGCCGTTATCTTATAATCTATCCACTGAAGGATGAAGGCAAAAAAGCAGCTTGTATTGTTGGTATGCTAGGCCTATATTATAGTACTACTTACTAGACATACCAGCCAGGCCCGTAGGCGATTTTTTTTTCCGTACGAAACATTTGTATGAAACTTCACTCGGGCCATCTCGGATTGACTCGAGTGAGTACGATACAAGGAACAAGAGCAGACACTTCGCAATGTCGTGACGCTCGAGTTTTACTATTATTGCTCTTTCTATGTTACCTACGGTTGGCCTATGAAATTTCACGGACTTATGTGATGTACGTCACTGTGTAACTAACTGTGACCTTCTTGGATGTTATTAAATGTTAGTATATTATCTACAACAACAACAGCTAGTACCTCCTGTTATAAAGTGTA